CTTTATAAATAAAAACTCAGTGTATCTAACTATCATCTAGAAAAACAATAGTTGATAAAGTGAAATTAAATAGCAAAGATATACAAAAAATTTAAGTGGAAGGGACTTTTGGGACACCCGGTATATGCTTATTGGTGATATTCTTATTTTATATTATATTCAAAAAACATGAATTCGAGTTATTTCGACAAATAATATAAATAAACGATCAGAAGAACAATTATCCATGATGCTTGTAATTACATCAATAGTTTCATTATTTATTGTTAATCTATACAGTTTTTTTTAAATCTTCTCATGAATTGTACAAAACACGCCATGCATTTCATCTCTTTCTAACTATCAGTGATACTATTCGCAAACGTTTCAAAAATTTATTGAAACTTGTTCGAAAATAAGAAATGTTGTTTGTCCAATTGTAATAGTAACAATAAGAACGACAACATCATCTCAATCAACTATAAACATCATCCAATGTTCCCCTTATATTTATGAACGACTTGATCAACCTTGAAAAATGACTTTCTTCATATACTTTTTCATTTCGGTTTTATTGTATCATTCTCTGAACTATGATTTAACAAATACAGTTTCGCTTTTGTTATTTAGTGGAGTAGAAATAGAACGGTTTAATGTAATACTAACGAATTGTTATGCATCTTGTACGACCTAGAAGACGTCTTCGAGAAAAAAATCACGAAATGTGAATGGACATTATGTTTTTCTTTTTTTTATCAAAGACATTGAAAACACTTTGTTTAGATCATTGTAGGATCGATTATTGAACTACTTTTATTATATTTTTACTTTTATAGCACATATGAATACAAATAAATTAAATTAAATCAGGGTTAGTATAATCATACAGGTATCATTGTACCTTCTATTGATTAGATTAACATTTGATTTTTGTTAAATAGCGAAATTATATAAAACATTTCTAAAATTCCATTTAGTCATGAAGAACACCACGTGTGACTTGTTCTGATAGTTTGGTATTTTTATCCATAGTTACTAACTACCCATCGCACACGGCGAATGTTCCATTAACAAGTAAATGTACTGTTCTCTGCGAAGAAAGCTACAGTTGCTTATAAATTGTACAATCTTTTACTGTCACCGAATCAAATATACGTAAATCAATCGTAACATAAAGATAAATACGATCTTTAGTTTTCATTTGTAACGAAAAGACACTTTCTAATCTTTGTATTGGTAAGAGAAATATTTCTCTTATAGCGTCTGCTAATATTATTTTACCACATTTACGAGCATAATGACCATGAAGTGTATCATCACTACTCATTAGAGTAATCGGACTTTGAAGACAATCAATAACAGTTTGTTCTGGAATTGAATATATAATAATTAATCCGGCTACTTTTCGATATTTAGTAAAACTAGACGCATTTAAGCGTTCTCCTGTATTTAGTAGATATCCGTATAACAATGGTAAGTGAAGCAAACTACGACGCAGTTCGATCTTGTTTTCATCAGTTAATTTAAAATTTAGTGATTATATATATATACACCCCTGGACAAAAGTCTTTCCCCCCTCCCTATTTTTTCTATCCTGCAATATTTTATATTAAATTTATTATCAAATAGAGGTATCGTTTTAAGTGTTTTATTGTAGTATTATGTATAATCGCCATTTGCTTCGATTAAGCAGTGTATGCGATTTTTCGTACTATCAACTAATGTCACAGCTAAATCAAATGGCAGGTTATTCCATGCCATTATTATTTCTTGTTCGAATTCACGAATTGTTCGAATTGTTTTTTTTTTACTTATTATATCCTTCATAATCGACCAAACATTTTCAATCGTGTTTTGATCTGGTGATGCAGGAGACCATGGCAGAACTTGAATTTGATTATCATATTTCCACTAGAGCGCTAAAGGGGACCTGTGTTTTGAATTGTTATCTTCTTGTAGAAACCAACTTGTAGGACCTTCAGGAAATTGATCTTCAGCAGTAGGCAGAAGACCGGTTTCGTAGAGATCGCACATTAAATCACCTGTCAAGTTCTGATCAAAGACAATGAGTCGATCGAAACCGTTTCTTGAAAAACAGCCCCATACGTGTAACTTGAGAGGATGTTTAACTGTACGAACAACCTTGGTAATACCTGGAAACCGACAAACTTTTCTTCCGCTTTTGCCTAGTTTAAAATTCTTCTCGTCGGTAGAAATCACATTGTCCCAGTTGTAATTTTTATGCTGTTGTGCCCACAGGGTGTGGGTGTGGGTGTGGGTGAGGTAGGATCCAAGACTAACCCACACCCACCCACACCCTATGCTTGACTTGCCAAATGAGATATAACTTGCTATTATTAGTAAAATGAATAAAATCGATGTATTATATTCACTAATGAATGTAAATCAATTATATATTCATGATCTTGATTTAACGCGAAAATCATTGTTGGATGATATTCACAAGAAATAATATTATGATATTCAATTAGACATCATTTTTAAATTAGCAAAGTATTTGTGTTGTAAGATATTGAACAGCAATACTTTTTAACATATACAGGGGTTGTCATAATTATAGACCCCCCTCATATGTACATAGAAAAATGTTTATTTTATTACAATAAGGAATGATATTGATCTGCTAGGTGTGCATCTACGTGAGACTAATTACGACTATCTGATGCTCTAGCATCTCTCTTTTATCTCTTGTTCTTTGGAGAAAAAAATTGGAGAAAACTGGAAAATGCCTGTAGCATAATTATAGACCCCC